ACCAGAGAAAGTGTCTGTTTCTTGTTATAAATGTTTCACGCAACTTGATAATTTGACTCTCATTTATTATAACAGCCTGATGTGTGTTGCGTATTGGTGTAGTGTGAACATTACTATGGATGCAAAGTTTGATTTGGTAGAGCTAATATAATACATGCGTTGATCGAAATCAAGGACATTATACCATTAGTCAACTATCCAAACTTATTACTAATTAGCGTACAGGTTTGGTGTAGTTGGCAGGCTACCTCTAATATTATATTGTCTGCGACTTTGTCTCCCGAAGATAATCGAGACGGGATCAAATAAAAGTTATTATATCAGGGTTAAGAACTATTTCCAATTATTTACCAAACTAGGTTTTCAAGATTACCAGTGATATGACTTATACTATACTATACTATTTCTTTTTTCTTTTTCTTTTGCACTGGAGAGCTAAAATCTATAATGACGTAACCAAACTCTTAGAGTCAGAATCAACTAATCAAAAAAAAAATATTCAAAGTTCCAAAAAGTCTAATACATGAAAAAGTTACACAAGATTTTTTTTCCATCTCTCTCCACACCTTTTCCACCTCCAATTGGCGGACATGATATTTGAACCCTGAATCTAACAGTAGAAAAGATTTTGAGTGCAGTGAGTAGACTAATCTCACAAACAATCATCAAAACAAGATTCTTCAGTGGTAAGCCTTCAAGTAATTGATGAAATAAGCACCAGATCTCACAAGATCTTTCTCAAGAAACAACATTTTAAAGAGTTTTTCCTGTAGTTTTAATTTTTAGTAACAAGTAATGGCATATTTTACGAACACAAGGCGTTTGAAGAAGGGAAAGACATTGAACTAAAGTAATTACGTGCAATAAACCATGAAAATTAGGGGCTGAAATTAGAAAACGATTCTTTCGAAGGAAGACAAAAGTATGCGTTAATCCTTAACAGGACACTGACAGCGATTTAGAATAACACTATTGACAGGTTGTCAGCCTGTGCAATAATGAAACCTGCTCAAACTAAAAGTGATTTCTGTAGATAGCGGTAAGCAGGGTTGAATCCACAGGGATTGGGAGTAATTGTTCCTTTTCAAATTCACAGTGACAAGGGGGTGTTTTTATATCAGGAGTGACAATTTAAACAATTCAACTAAAAGTAAAATAATAAAAATAAAATAGCCAACTAAAAATTAAATAACAAATTACTAAAATCAAATGAGTGATAACTAAGGCTCTAGCCAAGAAATAACTTCAGCAATGGTGCACCTAATTGATCATTTAAACAAAGGCAATTCCAATTATTTATCAATAAATAGGTTATAACTACCAAACAAGCGATGGCAGTCAATCCCTCCTTACTGTGTCGGTGATCAAGGTACGCCCGTTAATCACTGCTCTAATTGTGAAATAATCCTAGGTACGCCCGTAGAATTTAATTCCCCAATTACCTTACGTATTAGAGGAGCCCTATTCTAACCAAATAACGCACTATCAGGGTTATTTTAGGTTAGCCCGCGTATTCCCCTGACACAAACCCAATCATGCCATTTATCACTATTTTGAAACAATTAAACAATTACGGATTTAACTTCCCAATTGACAATAGATTATCAAATTAACTGATTATCCGAATCCAAGACAATCAATTAATTAAACAATCATAAGCACTGTAACCAGGGAATATGCGAATACCAATAAATAAAAGAAAAAGGTAAAATTAAATCGATCTCACAATTTTAGGCGAGCCAAAGCATTCGTTGCTCCTTGACTAGGGTGAGGAGATTAATTCATATTTGGTTCGAAGAACCCATGCAAAAATGTAAACATTGCAGCGGCCATTGTCCTAATTGTTCCAGGCGTATGCGGCCAGAGAACCACCAATGACGAAAGGCTAAAAGTCAAAAAGATAAATTGCTACAGAGAATGATTTCTTTGCCTTCTTATGGGTCCTCACACACGAGAATTGAGGCTAAGGAAAAGCCTCCCTAAGAAAAGCCAACAAAAGCCACTTAAAGTAGTCCTCTCTAATTCCTATCTAATGGCTCTAGGTCTGCGGCGGCTCCTACCAGCAAGAAGAAAAACCCTTCAGCCGTCCTTCCTTCGCAGCAGAATTTACCAAAATGGGCGTAATATCTTCTTTTCCAAAAATGCTCCTGGGCCAAGCTCTGTTATTTGGACTCTTTTCTTGTTAAATTGGCACTTGTTATCATATTTTCGTTCTACTCCCTGAAATAAATGCAAAATACTAAAAGTGAGTAGAATCCAATAATTAATCCACATCAGATCAGGTAATAAGGGGAATTAATAATAAAATAACTGATAAAATTACAACCTATCAACTATGCTGCGAAGGATGTCCAAATTTAGTTCCCCACAATTATTAACTTGGCTCATATTTTGCCCCTACCTCTTTTCATAGTCCCTCTGATAGCAAAGATGAATTATCCTCCAACTCAAATCATCAAATTTTATAATGCATCTTGAACAAAAAGAGGGATCAACTTGTTCCCAAAATTCTTCTCTCTACCTCTCCTCTTCTCCAACTTCTCTCTACTTCTTATTCTCTTCTCAAATGCCTTCTTTTCCACGTTCCATTTTTACCTTTTTTTTAAATAAAGTCTCACCTATGATTTCTTATTGAGATTCTCTATTTCTCTAAAAAAATTCCTAGTCAGATTTTTCTAGTCCCCTAGGAGTTCTTAGTGAAAGTAGTTCTTTTCTTTTTTGTTATTATATTTAAATTTATTTCAAATTTTGTTATCAGGTCTGCAATTCATTTGGATCTTGAGTCTATGTCAATAAATCTCACCATCATTATTCGAACTTATTAAAGCAGTTGATTAGTAGATTTAATGATTCATTGGTCTTGGTTGGGATTCTTCACCGGCGCATTCAGTGTCCGTGGCATATCCGACGAGAAGTGAGGCAGATCAGGCACTTAGTTGAGGATCCTGTTCGGTTTTCGTATTGCTACAAGGAAGCTAACAAAGTCGCTGATGTGTTAGCTAATGTGGGGATAACTCATCCTGAGCAGCAGGTCAAGGTCTATGACTGCTTTCGTATGCTTCCACGGCGGGCTCAAGGGGAAGTCCGGCTGGATAGGATAGGAATGCCTTTGGTTAGGAAAGTTGGGCATATGTAAAAGGGACTTTTAGATTATGTTGTTGCAATAAAATAAAAAATTATTCAAGAAAAAAAATAATGATTATTGCAGTGATTTAACTTATTAGAAAACATTTTCAAATTTCTTGTCTTTTTCAGATCTATTTGTAATTTTTCATTCTAGATCTGTTATTTCTTGCATTTTATCCTACCATTAGTGAAAATTTCTGTGATGTAAAATAAATTATGCTAGACAATTTTCAACAATTTCTTTAATGAAATTCACTTTTTATGCAAAAAAAAAAAATGTTCCCAAAAGATCAATCTAAGGCTAACAACAAAATTAATCATTCAAGATATTCATAAATAGAAGTAAATTTACTCAAGTAGAAATCTTGTAGGCATGTGTCTTGGCATATTAGTAGAATTTTTAGGTACTTTCATCAGTTACAGGTTCTAGGTATTTACCTAAAAAATATATATATATATCATAACTATTTTGTTAGGTGTCTTTAAGTGACAAATTGGGATTGAATGTCTCTATTTAGGTCTCAAGGGTCCAAATTGGTTCAGCCCATGTGGCCCTCTAGTTCGACCAATTGATGCTAAGAATCAGCCACTGTACTTTCAAGTTTAGTTGTATGTTCGACAACTCTGTCCCATGCTACAGCATTAATGTTTATGTCATTAAACAAACCAATTGATTATTTAGTACATACACACAACTGTTGTTCCTATACTCAATTCACCATTTTCAAGTTTACTAAATATCTTAGGTGAGCTGACGTGGTTTCTTCATGCGTGGATTGATGAAGAAAATGATCTATCAACATCCTCACTACAACTTGATCAGTAATCTATGCAAGTGTATAGCCCACTTGCTAGACGATTTCAAGTATTCACGTATATAGTAATCCTCAAATAAATCAATGTATCTTATTAAGACGGTAGGAAATTAAGCTATCTTTTGATCTATTCAAATTTTGTACCGGTCTTAATGCTATTAATCATGTCCTTGGATAAGTGATGTTTGCTGAACTTCTTATCTAGCATCTTATTCTATTCGTACATTTCCTTTTGTTTGATCTTCCACGGATATGAATGATTCAAATTTCAACGTATATCAAGTTGTTGAAAAAAAGCTCGCTATATGTGCCCTGCTATAAATTCTTATCATCCTTGATTTTTTTATTCCACGCGCTTGGTAAAATGCAAATAATGGACATGGTTAAATCTCAAGAAAAGTTAAATAGATCATAGGTAAAAAGAATTCTAAAAACTTATATTTCATCTTCCTTTACTAGATAGTCTTGGTTGTCAGAAAATAAAGCACAAGAATGTATGTATAAATTTTGGACAATGTATATATGTATGTATACATTTATATACATGTATATGTGTGTGCAAACTGTATATGTATCATGCATGCAATAGCTCAATTATCAGCATTCCATTGCTGCCGTCCTTTCTGCCTTGTGGCTTCTACATTCTAAATTGATGTACCAAAATTCGGCATGCGTCCATCGATTGTATGTGAAAATGATGTAACCGTCGATCCCGCAACCAGGAGTTTATACTTGAGCTTTGCGACATTATGCTAATGTTCATTATCTTTTCCACTAAAAGAGGTTAGAAATTGCTGGACTTAAAAATTTCAAATCTTAATGTGTTGATGCTTTGTTTAAACTCCTTTCGTAAGCTAATTCTGACTTAGACTTTGTCTTAATTCTTTGATATTTGTAGCTTTCTCTTAACAACTCAGCGATAAGAAGTTTCAACACAACTACCGATTAGGTTTTGGCAAATTGCACCATCTCTTGCTATAAATAGTTATCATCATTAACTTGTGTTCTCACAAGCATAGCTAACATAAGATATCGGAGATGGCTAAATCTCAATTAGCTGCGCAACCTTCTTTGCCCTGCTCATCTGCTTCCTCCTCCTCGTACCAAATAGTAAGTTGTAGCTAGTCTTTAGTAAGAGAGTTTACACTTCTATAGTCTTAAATGGTGAACACGTGCATAGAATGGCGTATATTTGTACATTCCCAAAGTTTTAATTATTTGTCTCTACCTCTCTCTTAGTTAGAGAACTTCGAGTAGAACAAACAGAAATGGTTGTCACTAGCAACGAATTAGAATAGTTATAAGTGTGTATCATGTATATGTACACTCACAATCAAAATTTTACGAACTAATTTGTATTACATATGCGCCGTATGCTTTTCAATAAATGTTTTTGCTTAAAGTTTAGCCCTGTACTCTGCTTTTGAATTTTCTCTCGCGCTTTCTAATTTCTCGTGACATGTAATTATACTGCAAGTATACATGTATAGTGTTGCGAATAACAATACATGTGGCATAAAAATAGAAAATGGGATAAAGATTGACACAAAAAATGACATAGAGGAACCATGCCCTGTAATACTAACAAACACCTATCCCTTAGGTGGACGGGCTAGATCCCTGATATATACCATACACTTTGGACTAACTCTAATGTTTTGCTCTCTCTTTTGCTTTGTTTCATGCAGAGATGCCAATGGCTGAAGCTTCATTTTGCAAGAGGCTTGCCAAGAACTGGTCCGGGATTGTTCCTCTGACAGGTGCTACAATTATTGCAAGTATACAGAGCATGTTTACTCCGGAGAATGTAATTGGAATGGCAATGGTCAGCATCGTTATTATGCTTGCTACTGTGTCTACAACTGTTGAAAGCCTACTATTTTCTGCAATTTGCAACGTACTTTGTATTCAAATAAAGGCGAACAATTCACTAGAATTGCATATGTGCCGCCAATAGTTGTTGTTCCTATGTCAGTTGCTAATAACGTACGGTGCTGTCTGTGTTATCATTGAAAAATCACTGCTCAGTGATAACTTAATCAGTCTATCCATGTGTGTCTGTTGCGATCTGTCTTGTATTCATTTAAATATAAATGGACTACCTCTGTCCAAGTATAAGGGTCATCTTCTGTGATTTCAACTTGTTATGAGTACATGTGATTATTATGTTTGGACTCTGATAAACACCAAAAATATCTGCTAAAGAATTGGATGCAAAAAAAAAAGTCTAATGAAAAAAAAGAAAGAAAGTCATATGCACAACCAATATTCTCCATGAAAAACAAAAAATAAACACTGATTGAAATATAAAAATTGGCCTTGAAAATCTTGCACTCCCTATGTGCCATATTTGAGGTTTTTTTTTTTGTTTTTTGAAAATCAAACTTTTTAAGAAAAAAAATGTAATTATTAAGTTTGAATGTACTGATTTTGGATGAACCTTAAACATGGCCCTCACATGGAGTGTAGTGGCACGCAAAAGGTAATTTTTTCAAATGGTAAAATGGAAAGTTGTGTTGATTTTGAAAAGATGACCCTTTGTTTGGAATATCCAAAAGGGAAAACATGACACTAAAAAAGGATGGTTATTTTACCATTTTACTGTTTTATTTTCCTTTTTTTTTTTTTTGAAGGTTTCCGTTGACTCTGACTTAGCTTCCTTTAGTTTAGTTGAATAGAAACCGAAGACCATGTACTTTATTTGTTTTCCATTAATTGACATCAATAGGGTGGGACACATTATAAAAATTCATAATTTTTTCAAAGAGTGAGTTTGTAGGAGTTTTTGGTGAGGCACGGCCCCAAGTGTAATTTTTTTTTAAAAACTGGAAGTTGGGAAAATGTAAGGGAATAATAAATATTACTGCATGCTAAAGAAATACAAAATAAAAATTAATCAAAGCCATAAATAGGTATAATTATTCTATAATTAAAAGATTGTATTGTCTTGTTATAGGGACTGTTTTCATTTTCTTTTACATCTAGATTTTAGATTTTTTTTAAACCAAAAAGGTCAAAATCTAGAATATACCTAGGACTTAACTTAATTGATTCTGATTTTTTTTCTCCATAATTACATTCTATGATCAACTATTGCAAAATTTACAACAAACAAGAATAGGCTAAAAGAAGCATGAATACCAAAAAAATAAAATGCGGAAAAATTTTCTATATTGGGAATAAAAGTTGAAACATCTTAACTGACTCCATAAAGTTTTGATTCCAAATTACTCCCTAAAAAGATGCTTATCTTAAGTGAATATCAGCTCATAACAATAGGTAACATTGAAGATGTGCGATTGGTTTTATTAGAACAAATTCATGTTGATGTTCAATGGATTCCTAGAGAAGCAAATAAGGTTACACATACTTTAGCAAACTATGCTAAATCTACCAACTAACTGAATCTTTTTGGAATTCCCCCTGACTTTGTCAAATAAATTGTGTTGTATGATTTCCGGCTAACTTATTAATAACATTGGTTTTGCATTTTCTATATATATATACACACACACGCAATCCTCCCCACATATATATTCCGTGTAGATATGGGTCTTTATGAAATTATTGAAATTTTATGGCCAGGCTGAATTCCTAATTTCAACCTAAGCTGATATCATATCCTATCCAATGAAGGAAAAAAAATCCTGAAAATGACAATAGCTGACTTATGAATTAATGAAAGAACACTTAAGAAATTAATTAATCTCCACCAAAATTAATGACGTGGAATCTATATTAATTTTTGTAAAGAATTCAATCCTGTGTTTTTGTAATGAGAAAGCAACAATAGCTGACTTATTCATATGTTGTACGGATATTCTTGAGAAATGCTTGTTGCTTTACTGGCCAAAAGTCAATGTTATTAGTAAAATCCCAAAGAGTCTTTTGGCTGAACAAGAAAAGAAATTAAATCCCACTACAAAGCCGTAGCACTGTAAAGCTGATCCGTGTTGAATTGCCCAAGTTGGGATGGACGAGCGGCCAATGACAATGACCAAGTCACCGGCAAATGAAAGAGACACCGTCAATTAACGCCAGACTGGATTGATTCTCCAGTTAATTTCACGGACAAATAAATCTTGTCATTTCTTTGAATACTCAAGTAGAAATTTTGTAAGCATGTGTCTTGGCATATCGAAGAGATGGTTGCTGTTGGTTATTAGTAGAATTTCAAGTACTTTCATCTGTTAAAGGTCATATAGCTGCGCAAGTATCTTTGAGTGACAAATTGGGATTTAATGTCTCTATATAGACTCAAGGCTCCAAATTGGTTCAGCCCAATGTTGTCCTTCGGTTCGATAAATTTTTGAGAATTAAGAGTCAAGCCACTTTATTTTCAAGTTGGGCTGTAGGTTCGAAAACTCTCTCACGTTACAGCATTAATATTTCATATTTGTGTCATCAAACAGAGCAATTGATTATTGAATTTTCATTAGGCACTCGTTAAAACATTTAAATCATACCTAAGTTATTATGTAAATACATACATCATATTTATTATACCTCTGAATTGGGATACTTTCAGATTCATACCTAAGTTATTATGTAAATACATACATCATATTTATTATACCTCTGAATTGGGATACTTTCAGATTGCCAAGGAAAGATCCTTTAAACTGTCCTGTGCACTAGGTTAGAAGTTCAAACACCGTTTAGTGTATCACACAAGAAGTATAGTACTTCTTGTTTTAAAAATTCAGAGAGTGCAACAGTGTACTTGTCCGGTTTGATTCTTCGCGCTCCTAACTCCCACACATGCCTCTTTAGACTCCCCCCAATAGAGTAGGAGTAGGGGTAGGTTAAATATTTTAGCAGATAAAAAAAGAAAAAGAATTGTAATACTTTTTCAAATTAACTATACTTTTCCAAAAACGGAACACTTGAGCCCCATTTAATCAATTGCCAATGGGTATCCTATACCCAAACTGTGATGGCCCGGTCTCCTCCTAGGGCATATCCTAGAAGTTAGCAGACTGCCCGCCTGGCTTTCGCCGGGACTCATTTACTAACATTAATTTCAGAGATAACAATTCTCATTAATCATCCAAGCATCCATTCTTAATACTTCTTAGTAAGACAAAAACTTTATCCACTACAAATTACAAAAGTGAATCATCCAAACGTTCATTCTTAAGTACATCACCAACTAGTGTGAAATATAAATCTATCTGTTAAGAGATACAAAATGCAGGTCTTAACATCAATATATAACATTAGACCTCCCAAAACACTCTAACTCTACTTGATCATCCTTCAGACTTCAACCCCTGTAAGGAAAACAAAACTAAATGGCTGAGCTAAAGCTCAGTGAGGCTTGCCAAGCAAGTTACATAAAATAAACACTTAAATCAGTACAATTAAGCAAGTAGTACACATTTCACTGTACAATCACTTTCATTAAGTAATTGAGAAACACTTCGCTAAACAATCACTTTTAAAAGGATACGGTGCTCGCATTAGAGCTACTTCAATGTCATTGAGCATTCATTTCAGTGTCAAGAGACATTCATTTCACTGTCATTGTACATTCATTTCAATATCACTGAACATTCTGCCAATTCACTTCCTTATGTCCTCCAAAACAATAAACAATTCACTACATTCAATAATCAGTTCAATAATCTCCCAACCTCATGATAATACTCGAGTATATCGAAACATTTGCCCAAAGCTGCCGTTCTACCCGACCAAGCCCTTTGCTGGCTCGAATAGTCCATTGAATAGAGGGTTTTCGGGCCCAATTCAGCCAATGTGATAAAATACACACACGGCTTACAGTCATGCACACTTACAATATCACTTGATCAATTATCAACCTTCAAACTCAACTAAGGCGAGTGCGATAAAGTACACCCTCGGCTTAGAAGGCAAGGGACAATTGAGATACACTTTGCAATGAATCACTTAGCAATATTTCATAATAAGCACATTTATCACATAATTTCACTTAAGTAACATAAACAGTTAAACATATAAATTCGGAAACACTCACCGTAATCAAAAATTACACTTCGATCTCGGAATTGCTTTCTTGCACACCTCTATCTCCTAAGACAAGTTATAATAGCCATAATCATTTAACTACTCATTTGGTGAGGTTCTAAAGTATAATCAACATACGTGTTGTATTCTAGCCTTAAGTCACCATTCCAGCTGAATTCTCAGCTATTGCTTTGTTTAAATGAGGCGACTAGTGCATTTCTTACATTCACTCGTCACTTCGACTTTTAGTTTTCAAAAGAGAGGAAGTTTAAGTGGCAATTCCAGTATTGTGACTTCAGTACTTTTATACTGCTAGATTTATCGTACTAAAACTCAACATTAACCTTTAATAAGGTAAATTTTAGAAATAACTACCTTTAAGGTACTTTATTGTCCTATAAATCTCTTTTACTTACTTATGATCATGAGTAAAACTAGTTTATTACCTTGACAGTGAACATACAATGCTTATAAAGCCGTTTGAATCATGTTTTATTTGTATATCTTTTCATATAAGTTTTATAGCCTTTTAGATCCCTATAGTTGATATAACAACTGTTCTCATCCATTTATCCATTTATCTTTATGTCCGACTGCTAATTACTCACCAATTTAAGGTTTAAATTACTAGAACTCAAGTCCCTTAGCTTGTCACACAAGATGCAACAATTCCAGCAACCTTCCTCACATTTCTCTTCAAGATTCATCAAATTTATCAACTCAAACAAGGGAAATATTCATGTATACCAAATTTAAGGTCTTGTAAGGTGTTTAAACTAAGGTTAAACTATTTTCATGCCAAATTTAAAGATTAAGGTTAGTGAACTTTTCATTTCTTTCCTTTTAAGCTAAACCAGATTCTAGTTTGCTTGTTGTTTAAATTTGCTCCAATTCACCAGCTTTTCAAGTGTTAAAATCAATAAGATGTACATGAAAACTAGGACAAGATGTTATAAGATGTTTTACTTAAGATTACAGCCAATTATCATGGAATTTTCGAAATTAACATGAGAGTTTCAGCCTTCACCCTCTCTCGGCCAGCAAAACAGATTTTCCAGCAACATTACTCCAAAATTTTCAACAAGGTTTCCATCCTTTGCTTGCTTTAAACACTAAACACTTAACATACATTCTGTCCAATATGAAATGAAT